GTAATAGATTATTCTCGTTTCCGATCCAATGGATTCTTCTTCGTATTCCTTCATTTTATTGGCAAGTAACAGTGAAGTGATGGGTTAGGATTTTATCGGAAATTAATTGATATGAGTTCGGATACACGCAGAGAAACAGAAAATGTCGGAGAAGACGAAGGGAAGGAAAGAAGAGGTGGTTACCAGAGAGTACACCATCAACCTTCACAGACGCCTTCATAGCTGGTAAACTTACAAAAGAACTTTAGACCCCTCTGCTTCGCTTTCTTCTTTTTGGTTTTAACTTTTTTGGCATATTATGTGTAAACAGTACCTTTAAGAAGAAGGCTCCAAAAGCGATCAAAGAGATAAGGAAGTTCGCAGAGAAGGCAATGGGGACAAAAGATGTGAGAGTAGACGTGAAGTTGAACAAGCAGATTTGGAGCAGAGGTATCAGAGGTCCTCCAAGGAGGATCAGAGTCCGAATCGCTCGTAAGAGAAACGATGACGAAGATGCAAAGGAAGAGTTCTTCTCTCTTGTCACTGTTGCTGAAATCCCTCCAGAAGGACTCTCTGGCCTTGGCACCAAAGTCATTGAAGAAGAAGATTGAAACATCTTTATATTATCATACTTTCAAGTTCTGTTTTTCTTCATTATTTTCTTTGTAGCTACTTCGAATCATTGATGCAGTTTATTAGAGAGCTCATATATCTTCTTGATCCATGTTTCATTTCATCATCCATATGCTTTGATTAATGATCGCACATTTGATTACATACCAATTTCAAGTGAACTGTAACATAAGTGAACCATTCAAGAGCTTGCCCAACTGCATTTGTACATACCTGGAGAATCTACATCATGTGGCCATGATTTGCCTACTGAGACCTGGAATCTAGTTTGAAGCAAGAATGAGATGGATCTCAGTAATGTTCAAGTCGAGCTTGAAAGTTTTGTAGCAATTTAGTATATAGCAAAAGAAGAATGGTATTTTATTAAGGGGATTATAGAGTCAAAAGTTGCACTCTTGCTATCACAAATTTACTCTCAAGCGTATTGGGATGGGCTTTTATCTCTACCTTGCTTTATATGCATACATATAGTTCCTTAGCTTTTTCACTTCTTCAGATGATTCCTCCAGTAGATGGTCCACGTATAAGCAGGTTCCAGCTCCGCTTCAATTTCAAATTACAGTAGGTTAACACAACATTAGTGTTACATACACAGGATATATACATATTTACACACGAGTATAGATTAGCAATAGATGCACATACCACAGTGGCCCAAATGGAAGCCAGATTGCATCCCACCGGAACTTTGGAAGCCTAGAACACAGAGTGAGAAATTAGCACAAATCTACAAAGAGCACGAATAAACTGAATTGACAAGAAATGTCCCTATTGTTGTTCCAGCATAAACAACTAACACATGGATTATAAACTATAAACCGGCATCTCTGGATCTATACACTGAGATTAATTGCGCTCTTAAATCTAATAGTAGGAATGACAAAAGGTCTGTCAAATGTAAGATGGTATCTAACATACTGAATTTTATACTCTCTAGTGTACCTCAGCAAGTAATAAAGCCAAAAGATGGTCAATGCGGATCCAGGAACACATGAGTACCAGAACCACCGTCTATGATCATTCTTCTTATCTTGCAGCCCGACAATTGAGAGACAGCAAGCCATGATAGCGATCCATTCTGATCCAAAAATCCGGAGATCAAAGTGTTACTGTTGTAAGAACCAAATAAAAACTAAACCAAAATCAAGCAGCAACGTCTTCTGATGGCAGTAAAACTTCAATATGGCCAATTTGGTTCTAAACTATACTAGCAGAGAAGCAGGATTACGTACTTAAGGCCCAAAACACTAAAAATACAATCACTCTTTCTCATCCTACACTATTGCAGCAATAGGGATGCTCTGATTTCATCTCCTATGAAAAGCAATACTCAGGAATTACAGCCGGAGATGTGACCATGTGAAAGTGAGCATTAGATTAATATGCATCTATATCTGTTTTTTTTTCCATATTGGTACAAGAGAATACACAGAATCGTCCACAGAAGATCAGTATTGTCTGTCCCACCATATCGAATGACGAGACAAATGTAATAAACCATAACTACAAAGTAAAAGACACATAGATGTAAGACAAACCAGCTGAAATGACCATCCATGACTTGAGGTCTTCCATAAAGTAGGCATGATACCGCTGCTCAGAGAAAAAATGACATCGCCTAAGAACTCTTGAAATACAAACCGTACGATATACATACCTTAACTAAAGAGACATTTGAAGATGTAAGTTTAAAGCGAAATAAGTGCACATAACTCCATACACAGGCAGAATCAGTGTCTCATACAGACATTGTAAGTGTAATCAATTCAGTATAATATTAGCTTCTCCACAATAGCCAGGATGGAAATTCAAAGCTTTAAATTTGAAATGTATGATTCAACTTGTCTATTAAGATCAAAGATTTCACTGCAACTGAAGAAAAATGATCTGATATTGTGGATTCAATTTTAAGAGGAAGAGATTTAGGGAGAGATTATCATACCATTTCCCATGGTGACATGAACTGCTGAAAAATGGAGTAGGAGAGGAAAGCTGCATAGCAAATCAGAAGAACCGCGAACACAAGCTACACAAAAGAGAGATACAAACTAATTTTTTTAGAAACAGAAGTCTCAAATTCGATATAAATTGGAGACTGTTATTCGATCATACCCTCCATTGGCGACTTTGATGAGCGTGAGCTTCCTCGAGCGACCGAACGTACTCCTCTTGCTCTGTACAGCGAAGAAGATAACTAGAAAGTGTTAACGAACTTGCTTTACGAATCTGCCGAAATATTTCTCATAACGAGTGAAAAAAAAACAAAAACAAAAACCTTGTGTATCGATAGGCCGAGAATCGACGTCGTCCGAAGTCGGAAGGACGAACTTATCATCTTCTTCGCGACGAGTTCTCCGCCATTTTCTCGCTAATTTCTTCATAGATTATTCTTCTTCGAGAGGAAAGGAAAATCAGATGAGAATTTAGCAGAGGAATTAGGAATTCTTCTAACGGCATAGAGACGATTATTCTACAAATTCAACGAAAGCCTTTTTTAGGTACGGCCCATTTAGAAGCCCAGACAACATTACTAACCCGGTCAATTTATACGGAAAAGTCAATATCCATACGCTGACCAATGAAGATTTGTCTCTTGTTAACCGAAATAGAATTCGGCGTAAACCAATAACTTAGACCGGCTCAAGTAAACCAGCACGAAATAGATACGAACCAAACTGGCTAAATTTCATTTTGGCAATTGTAATCAGAATAAGCTTTGCCTTTATGAAGGAATGAATATCAAGACCTGAATAATGAGGTATTTCATTAAAAATCTGCCCGTTAAGGATACGTAAGCACACTACTGTGATGGAGAATATTAGGGTCGGATTTCACCCGCTCAATGTTGAAGTCTAAAGTTATGCAAGCGCAACGCATAGACACGAAATCGCATTAACGTACAGATGTTATATGATTCTCCTAAGTCATTTTCTAACTAGAAGATGAAATTTTTCTCCTTTCCTAAGTTTTCTCCGTCCAAGAAGGGAGCCTTCTGAGTCCTCTCTACTCGCAGCAGAAATCAAGAGTGCAGAACCGGCGCCGTGCTAGCAAGGTCACACTGCCAGCGATGTCACACTGCCAGCGATGTCGCACTGCCAGGGAAGAGCAGTGCCAGCGAAGAGCAGTGCCAGCGAAGTGTAGAGCCATCGGTGTCACACTGCCAGTGATGACACAGTGCCAACGACGACACTAGCCACCGAAGACCTGCCAGAATAACGACAAAGGCCAGAAGGTTCCCTACGCTAAAACCCGGTCCAATGGCGAAGTCCACTTTAACACAACCGACGTAAGGAAAAGGAAATCCGCGAAGACTTAGGAAAGTGAAGATTATCTTTAGGAAATATGTCTAGCCGACTTAAGGAGCTATATATATCAATGTACAAACCCTTGTAGAAGGGATCCGCAACTTTATTCACAAAAGCATATACAGCAATAACAAACGTTTCTCTTTGCTCATCGTTTCTTGCGTAGCTTAACCTAGAAATCTCTGTTTCCTCACGAAACCCTTACAAATCTAATTGTGCTAATTTCGACTCCAACAGAGAACAAATCCCAGATTATATTTAATTATAACTAGGTGATTATCCGCGCGTAAAGTATAGAAAGAACAATCTTACCTT